TCTTGTAACAAAGTAGTGGTGGTAGCGGACAGATTTTAAGTATCAGTTCTGCTTAAAAAGATGCGATCTAATCCTGTTTATATGAAATAAGCCTGCTCCCGAGCAGGTTTGAGCTTACGGACCTGTTGCTATGACAGCAAATCTGGGATGAGCTTGGAAGAACCAAACAATCCAAGATCATGCCAAATCATCAACAATCAAATCCAGCTAACTGAGTTAGCAACGTACGAAGAACGGGGCCGTGGTTGCGGTGCTTGTTTTGTTGTGTTTCGTATTATATTGGGTTGTTTTGCTCTTTGTTTTGTTGTGGTCTGTTTTTTGTGTTGTCTGCTTTTGTTTCGTATTGTGTTGTGTTGTTGTTGTTGTTGTTGTTGATGTTGTTGTAGTGGTGCTTGCTTTTTTTCGTGGTGTTTGTTTTGTGTTTTATTGTGTTATGTTTTGTTTTGTTGTATTGTGTTTTGCTTTTGTTTTTTTGTTTGTTTGTTTTTTTGGTGTGTTTTGTTTTTGTCTTCTGTTTTTGTTGTGGTGTTTGTTTAGTTTTTTTAAATAGTTTTGATTAGTTTTTTTGATAAGAAAAACTAAAATAAACACTCATAGTTAGTAGTAATAATTTTTTTCTTTTCGGCTGTAAAAATGCAGTTTTTGTCATACAAATACAGTACACTAAATTGTGAAAATTGACCATCACCATGCCACAGTCCGCAAAAATGTCACCTAAAGTAACTTGTGCTATTGACTTTATTTGATCAGTCCTTTAACTTTATTTGTGAGCTCTAACCTTGTCAGTGAATTGGCTCGTTTGGAATCGTTGCCTGGCATGCGGTCGCATCTTAAAAGATAATGTGTGTGCAGAGCGTGCGACTCTGAATGAGTAATCTGATTATTTTGTTGCTCGAGGTGTGTCGTAACAGCAAGCAGCATTTCCTGTGGAATCCTCCAGGCCCACTCCACGGCTGACTGTATGCAGGTGTTTTAATAATGCATGATTCCCTATCTCGAGAGGCACTCATTTGATACAAACTCTCCCTCCTCACGAGCTGCTCTGTATGCCACTGAAATTGCTAATCTGAGACGATTCCTGTAGGCCCGAGAAAACTCACCAGGGCTTCATAATGATGGAATGATTTTGTATAATAACAGATAACAAATGAAGAAGATCCTCTTATGCTTTGTTAGCAGTTCACTCAATTGTTTTGTTCAGAATATGACACTAATTTCATTTTTAGCTTATCTGATTGTAATTTATTCATCTTGTTGGTTGAATGGATCTGGAGCATTATGCATACTTTGTTTATGCAGAAATCCTGATGTTTTTATGTCTCAAGTAATGTCTGATGTGTTTACTGATTCATCTTGGCCATGGGAGATTATGTAGCTGAGATCGTCTGATTCAGGATTTCACAAGATACGAAAATCATAATGTTGTTTTATCTCTTCGGACAGGAAGTGCAAAGACCCTAGTTGTGTTTAATGAAAACGGAGACGCCCCTGGACGCTACGACATCTACCAATATCAGATAACAAACAGGTCGGCTGAGTACAGAATCATCGGCCACTGGACGGACCAGCTGCATTTAAATGTAAGGAGTTCATCTACGTTCCTTTTCAAGTGTACTTAAATGTTAGAGGCTGCCTATAAAACAGTTATTTACTTTGGTAATGATGATTATGGTGTAGACGACTGTCATAATGATTATGGCAATTACACTGTACAATTAGTGGTGTTGAATTAACACCCGTAATTCAGAAGTAACTTTTTTTGAACTATCACCCAAAAGCCAGTATTAGTTTTCCTACACCGTTCATAGGGTTGCAGCCTCCATGTTACAGCTAATGCTGTGAGATTTTATGTTTGTTTTGTCTTAAACATAAAATAACCTGATCCTGTTTGATCAAGGCATGCGACTGTTCTGACTTGTCCAATTTTCAGCATCAGTTTTTCATCTTGCATCAAAATTCTGTCTATTCATTGTATGCATTTGAAATATATAGTGGGGTTTTGTTTTATTGTACCCAAGTGTACCTAAAATAAAAAGTGTTTAATATACAGGTTTGTGGCTCTTAATTTCCTATTAATTAACCATTTGTAATCTTATGTTCACTGTTCATTTTTTATAAATATAGGATTTGTATTAAATCTATATTCATTCATATAGTCAAATCGAATCGAGAATTGAAATCAAAAATCGAATCGAATTGAGAGCTTGAAAATCGAAATCGAATCGAATTTGAACATCTGAATCGATACCCAGCCCTATTTAACAGTTTGGGGTCAGTAAGATTTTTGTTATTTGAAAGAAATTAATACATTTATTGGGCAAAGATGCATTAAATTGAACACAAGTGACATTTACAGTGTTTAAAAAAATGCTGTTCTTTTGAACTTTCTGCTCATCAAAGAATCATAAAGAAAAATGTATCAGATTCAGTGACTGTTTTCAACATTGATAATAATAATAATAATTATTGAATAATAATGAAAATTCAGCTTTGCATCGCAGAAATATATTACATTTGAAAATGTATTCAAATAGAAAACAATTAGTTTAAATTGTAATATTGTTTCACAGTATTACTGTTTTTTTTTACTGTATTTTTGGTTAAAAAAATGCAGCCTTTGTAAGCATAAGATAATTTTCAAAAGCATTAAATAATCATACAAAGCCTAAGCTTTTGAACAGTATATTATATTATATTATACCATGGTCTGTCTGAATACTCTGATTGACTGATTCTGATTGGCTGGCAAGTATGCATTAAAACCGTTTAATGCATAGGTTGTTCCAAGTCAGTTTAATCACTGTTCTATATTAATGCGCTGATTTAATTGATGCACACAAACCCCCACACACAGAGAGAGAGAGAGAGAGAGAGAGAGAGAGAGAGAGAGAGAGAAAATAGCCAAATACTAGATCACTACATTATATTCCTCAGCAATGAGGTGGTAAAATCGTTGTTTTTAAAGTAACTAAACACAGCTTCATCGTTTGTAGAGAGACATGCAGATGCAGGTAACACACGCACACAACTGTCATCTCTCTCTCTCTCTCTCTCTCAATAGATAATTAATTCAAATAAATTCTATAATTCATTCGAATAAATGTGATCTTACCATACTATTTCATCTCTGTGTCTGATTTGAAGCGGGCAGAATGTTAGCGCTAATGAGCCGTAACTGACAAAAATAACGTCCGGTCCTTCCGGTCAAATATTGTGCTGAAAACATCATTAACAGCTTTAACTTGTCAATGCAGGAAAATGACCAAGGTATAAGCGGGATAATGCACGGCTAGCTGTGCATTAAACAATTTTAATGCACTTTGCGGAGGCAACCACTTGGTACACTTAAAATCATATAATGCACAGCTAGCCATGCATTATACCTTATATATTATATTATATTATATTATCAGGGGTGCACATAAGTGGTACGCAGGTCCGCATGCACGACCAAAACAAAAAATTCGCTGAGTAAATAAGTTCTGACAGCGCATATGCGTACCGACATGATTGACAGCTAATGCACAATCACCCATTTTAGATCGACAAACTGTACTGTATAAGATTTCTGTTCAAACTGAAAGCATAAATCTAGGCTGCCTTTTTTTTAAAAGCACAATGCAAAACTGTGACACTTCATTCAATGACGTTCTTCGATCGGCAGCTTCAAACCCGGAAGCGCATATACTTACTTTGCCAGCAACCCGCCAAAATAAAAGCCTGCTGATTTTAAGTTCGAAAATGATGAAAATTAAACAAAAGTAGTAGTAAATATTAATATTTTATTTTTAAGTTTACTATAAAGTAATTGCATTTGTATTTAATACTTCCCTTTAATTTTAAAATATAACAGTATCATACTTTATTATTTAGTTTATTAATTTTATTTAAGAAAAAACTAAATAAATAAAGTGCAATATTATTATCAGTCTTATAAAAAAAATTGTATAGTTATATTTAATGGGTAACAGTATATGCAGTGTAAGGACCAAACCAAATCTCCAGGTTCTCATATGAGAACCAGGCTGAAAAAACTTATGTGCACCCCTGTATATTATATATTATATTATATTATATTATATTATATTATAAGAAAAATGTTTTATTTAAAAATGACAAATTAATTAGCAGTTTTACTTATTTTATTTTCTCTGTCAAACAGGTAATTCCCACTATACTGTTGACAAATTTTCCTTCTTTATCTTTTTAATAACTCTTAATTAATGTTACCTTCATGATATGTTCCTTTGTTAAATTTGTATTTTATTTATTTTTTCATTTTATGTTTTTATTTTATTTCATTTTATTTTCCCTACAAATTAATTCCACAGAATCTGAAAATAACAAATGCTTTTTGACATTTACCAGAATATTTCTGACATTGTTTGTCTTCAGATGAATGCCATGCAGTGGGCGAGCGGAGACTCATCCGTGCCGGCGTCTGTATGCAGCCTGCCCTGTCAGACCGGCGAGCGGAAGAAGGTTGTGAAGGGGGTGTCGTGCTGCTGGCACTGCGAGCGCTGCGAGGGCTACCATTACCAGGCCAGCGAGTTCACGTGCCAGCTTTGCCCATATGAGCAACGGCCAGATCAGAACCGCACCGGCTGCCAGCCAATCCCCATCATTAAGCTGGAGTGGCACTCGCCGTGGGCTGTAGTACCCGTCTTCATTGCCATCCTGGGAATCCTCGCCACGACCTTCGTGGTGGTGACGTTCGTGCGTTACAACGACACGCCAATCGTACGGGCCTGCGGCAGGGAAATGAGTTACGTGCTGTTAACAGGAATTTTCCTATGCTATGTCACCACGTTCCCCATGATAGCAGCGCCCGATGTGGCCGTCTGCTCCTTCCGCAGGATCTTCCTGGGTCTGGGCATGTGTTTCAGCTACGCTGCCTTGCTCACCAAGACCAACCGCATCCATCGGATCTTTGAGCAGGGCAAGCAGTCGGTCGCGGCGCCGCGGTTCATTAGTCCCGCCTCCCAGCTAGTCATCACCTTCAGCCTGATCTCAGTTCAGTTAATGGGTGTGTTTGTGTGGTTTGTGGCCGACCCGCCGCACACCATTGTGGATTACGGCGAGCAGCGTACGCAGGACCCCGAGAACGCCCGTGGGGTGCTCAAGTGTGACATCTCGGACCTGTCACTCATCTGCTCACTGGGCTATAGCATCCTTTTGATGGTCACGTGCACTGTTTACGCAATCAAGACCAGGGGAGTGCCGGAGACCTTCAATGAAGCCAAGCCCATTGGATTTACCATGTACACCACCTGTATCATCTGGCTGGCCTTCATACCCATCTTCTTTGGGACTGCACAATCTGCAGAGCGGGTGAGTCTAAAGTGCTAATTACGGGGTTTTTTTCTGAAGAAGTGAATTTTTATTTACAGTAGGTGCCATGTTGAGATCATCTGCATCCTGTCATGTCATGGTACCATAATGTCTCAGTATAAAGTCCAAGATCACACATCATACATCTTTACAGACAAAATGTTTTTTCCCCCTATTGCATAGCTGCTGACTTGCATTTGTTGAGTTTTTGATATTGGTCACCTGCATGCTTTATACGCTACCATTTCAAAGTGTGTTTTTTTTTTCTTGCATCCCTCTTTTTTAGGAGTGCAAGCGTATAGCGCTGACGCCCTTTTGTAATTGTTGCAATGTCCAAGAATCGGCATTCTTCACTTAAAAGTGATCGGGGAGACCAAACCATAAGTCGTAGAGACTTGAAACTTGGAGGGATGGTAGTAGGGGAGCGCGGGGCACAAACCAACGCGGGGTTAGTTGTAACACACATGGTTTAAATATTTCCACACATTCTAGAATAACAAAATTTACAGTATTTACTATTTGCCATATCAACATTATATAGAGAAAAAAAGTGCACCAAATTTCGAAAATCTTTTAAAGATATCGCTGAACATTTATTTTACCACAGTAAAAGTACATTTTTGGCTTAAGTACATTTTTCATTTCAGTTTTTAGTATTTATTTAAAATGAGAAAAATCTGCAATTATTTTAATCTCCAATATGTTATTTATCAGTTTAGATGGTTTTTAATGCTTTGCTAACTAGCAGAAGACACTAACCGGTTTTAAATTCCGCTGAATTTTAAATTTTAAATGTTGTGCAGATGGGGAACGTTGTAACACTGTGTTACAATGTGCCCCGCTGTTCTGTGACATTAGTGATGTAATTTACACGGTTTACTTTAATGCATTTTAATGAGAAACTACGAGAAACAGGTGAAAAAAGACTGACAGGCAATGTTTTTTTTATTTTATTGACAAAATATTTTAGTTTGTCTTGTATATTTTAATCAGATAACATTTTAAGCTGCCATTTAGTCATGTTACCACATGCCCCTCAGATGTTACAATGTACCCCACCTATGGGGCATGTTGTCACATTTCACTTCCATTTTTTGAGGGTAAATAAAAAAAAACGTATACGCTGTAATTATGAAACAAAGAGACATATTTGTTCTAGACAATTGTGAAATGACTGTGGATAAAAAATTATACTCTGAACCCAAACGGAGAAAGTCAAAAAGTGTTAGGCTGTGCCCCGCTCTCCCCTACTCACACCGTCTATAACGTCACCAAGGCTTGCCCCAATCGGCCTGACAGGGCTGCTACAGCGATCAAAAGTATGAAACCGCTCATAACTCACAAAGGACAAAACACAGGATTTTGGATTTTTTGCGAAGTAGTCCAAGGTTTTTCGCTCAATCAGAACCAAACCAGTGCAGAAAAGTTCTCTGGAGTCTGATTAGCAAAAGTTATCAAAGTCAAGTTGAAGTTCTATTGTCGGTCAGAACAGGATGCAAAAATGTTCAAAGTGGGTGGGGCCACTTTTACTAAAACGACTATAACTCTTGAATGGAATGATATATTTTCACCAAACTTGGAACACATATGAATGAGGTCAATCTTTTTTTGTCAAATTGCAAAAATTGGGGAGTTTGACCACTTGGTGGTGCTATATCAGGAAAAAAAACATGAAAATGGCTGTAACTACGCACCCATTAGTCTGATTCACTTGAAAGTTGCATGCATGCATTGTCTTTGACCAAGGTGCCACCAATATCTGTGAGGGCATTGGTGTATCTCCGAAAACATGGCCGCCATCAGCCAATCAACCTTAAGCACATATTAGACAAGGTTAACGGAGGCCGATCGGAATTCAATTTTGACCTGTTTGACTCTTGGCCCTAGAGGTCTGTAAGAAATTAAAAAGAAATCGGCCACTAGGTGGTGCTATCGCATTTTATGCCTCGTATATCGCACGTTTTTTCACACATACACACAGTATTCATATCATATGTTAGAGCTCCTCATTCTGAACAACTTCTAGAACCACTGCTATCAATCAAACCGTTCGTTAAATATTTGACATTACGTAGCTACTTTTTAAAACTCGTCCTAGATGGTTTGTCCAGTTTTCACCTAAATTGATACAGACACACAAAAAGTTATCAAAAGCTTTCTGATAGACCCAGCCATTATGAAATAACGCACAAATGAATTTGATGAAGAGCTCGCCAAAATGGACATGAGGCTATATCTCCTCAATGCTTTGTCGTGTTCAGACCAAACTTGGAGTTTGTTATTAAAACCATGACCTGAGGTTACCTGCACAGTTTTGGCACAGTGCCACCTAGTGGTCAGGAGATATGAAAAATCTTGGGCATGTTGGCACCAAACTGTGTGCATGCGTCCCAATGTGATTACTGTCCATCCTAAATTCTATGTGATATTAGTAATTTTCAATACTATTTAGGGCAGATAGGTTGGATAGTATGCACATTGGGACACAGGGTAAGTCTCATCGTCACCCCCAGTTAACCACACAACATTAATTTGGGAGCAGTGCCACATATTGGTCAAAAGTGATAAATCATTAAATAATATTTTATTTATTATTATTCAGCCTTTTTGGGTAAAATATTAAAATGTCTATAATTTCTCAAGTGGCTTAAAATAATTGAACCCCGGTATTTGCTGCTTGCAGCTATATTTTTTCATGTTTTTGAAAAAAGTCTCTGCATTTATTTGATCAAAAACACAGTAAAAACAATAATACTTTAACATATTATTACAATGTATAATAGCTGTTTACTATTTTAATATTTTCAAATGTAATTTATTCCTGTGATGCAAAGCTGAATTTTCAGCAGCCATTACTCCAGTCTTCAGTGTCACATGATCCTTCAGAAAGTATCATATTACATTCTGTTCGGTAGAGTCATTAGGTTATATTACAACTTAATATGAATCCTCCCTCAATCAGTGCAGGTACATCTGTATACAGCATTTTATATACTAATATGTAGTGCTATTGTCATTACTGTCATTATCTATCTTTGCATACCTCTTTCTTGTTGTTGTGCCAACATGATGAAGTGAATAGATGAGGATCGTCTATATCATCTCCTCATTGGCAGCTCCATCAGTACACAGTCCTTGTTAGACTTTTAGGTCTTTGCATCAAAAACAAGCACTCATCTAAGAGATGCTCATTATCAGATATATGGAGATGATCAAACATGACCCGGAGGAATAGTGCTGCTCGTAATGGGCCATAAACAGAGCATGCTGCCTCTGTCAGTCCAGGTCAGTGTGGGTCTTATAATGTTGATAACTTCAGTGCTGGTCTGCAGACTGTAGGCTGAACCCTCTGTTCTTTCTGCACCAGAATGTATTTCTGTCCAGTGCTCATTAGTGCTGCCGAGAGAAGCCATGATTAAAAACAGTCTTCTCTGCATGTCTAATGTCTGTGACATGTGTTGAGATTTCCTCCTGCTGTCAGATATTGATGTCAAGTGTTATGTTAAAGGACAAATTGTGCAAAAACTGAGGATTGAAAGCAATGCTCATTAAGAATTCATCTCCAAGAGCTCAACAACATGATTTTCTCAAGATATAACAGCTAGAGATGGAGTTGAACTTGTTGACCTAACTGCTTTCTCTTAGCATGGATGGTTGTCTATCTATTTATATTTTTTATACAGACGGTGCTCTGGAATACCTGATTTTGGATGGTCAATGGCTGCATTCTGTAGTTTTATTGAAAGATGACCACTAAACTGTAACTGACTGAGCATTTGGTTTTGCTATTTAGCATGTTTTATGTCTGCTATCACTTTTCCTCATATAATAAATAAATATATTATTAAGATGAAATATATACACACATTCATTCTTTTTAGTTCCATATGTTCACAGTTTACTATAATAGTTCCAAAAAAACTTTTGATAAAGGCATTTTTTATTCTCTAAATTTCCACAGGCCCCAGTTTGAAATCCCTGCACTGGGCAAGAATCTTTCTCATCTCAACTATTGAACTTTCTCATCAACTTTCTCATCAAAGTGAATAAATCCCAAGTGATGGTGTCCTAAGCGGTTGCCTGTGTAGTGTAATGGTTTGATCAGCATTGCTGTTGGGTTTATTTTGCTATGATCGACTAGCTATTTGTTATCCCTTACATATTTTGTTTGATCATATTTTCCCTGCCGAAAGGACATTTCCTAGCATTCTATCATTTTGTGAGTGTGTGTTTGTGTTTACAACATTTAGTAACCTTACAGCTTTAATAAAATGTATTTTTGACACCAATGCTACAATGTTCTAAATCTACTGCTGAGCAGAGACATTTTTGAAAGCAAAACACCTGTGAAAAGCCTGACATGCTATCGCATCCAGTTGTGCATGTAACACAGAATAAGCTCATGGAACGATTCAATGTAGTAATTAGCAAAAGGGATTTGAAGCACATTGACATTGATCGAATTGGCATTTTCCCACTTAAAATGTTCGCGGTATGTGACGTGCATGAGGCTCATTACAATAGATTATCCCTTGGATAGTTTCCCTTGCAGACAAAATACCTGCCAATCAACTCAATGGTCTGTAATCCATTGTACCAACCTATTGAAAATGACGAGAGGGGGTTAGCGGTTTCAAATCTACCTCAGCATGTGTTTTGAATGCAGCAAATGCTAAACCTTGAGGTACTTAGGTATTTTTTATCCTTGACACTATGAGTGTACAATATGTCAGTATGAAATCAATGTCATGTCATGGGTCAGACTTGAACCTGGATTATCCACATGAGCACCAAGACTCAATGCATCTGGACTACATGCACTAATCACCTCACCCTATTAACATTTAGATGGTTTCTTGTGGGCTGTGTGCTGACAAATTTCTTGATTATTTAATCACCCCCAAGCTGTCCAAGATGTGTATGACTTTGTTTCTTCAGCCAAAGAGGAATTAATATGTTGGAGGGAAAAATTCCAGGATTTTTCTCCATCTAATGCAAGT